TGCGTTATAGTAAAGAGGAATGCTCATATCGAGAATCAATCAATCGTACTCCTCTCATTCAGCACCTAAAACCTTCAAGGACAGAAAAATTTTCATAGCCGATCAGGGCCGTACCCTCAGAAGCCAGGGAGTAAAAAAGCCCTGAATTTGTTTTCAGCGATAAAGTTTTTTACTTCCATCACATACCTCTACTTACATCCATATCTTACATAATATATTAAAATAGACTCTTTCTTATAGTAATCTTGGATGGAAAGACGCTGGAAATTTTATTTTGCTCCCCTAGCCTGCCATGAAAATAGGGTATGGCTCCAGATTCACCTCCCTTTCAGGAGACAAGATATGTATAAACGAGCACTGAAAAATAGGAACGCCCAACCTTGTCCTTGAAACTCCACTAAGAGATTCTCTAGCGAACATGCAACTGCGTCACGCACTGAATAAAGACTAGGATTGCGTGACAAGCTGTCGTTATACGTCCATTGAAATGATTTTTTTTTCAACGAAATGAAGCTGACTGCCAGCTGTCTATCGTTGACGTCGCATTCTCTAAGGAACGTCACGAGAGGATTCAAAGAAAAGTGGTCTAATTCATTCTGCAAATCAGCTTGCCAACATAAACATAATTCGTGTTGGCAAGAGTGACAAAAGAAGAAGAAGAAAACCAAAATGAAAATACGAATAAAAAGAAAAAAGTAGAACTACCCCTATCAAACTTGTTCTGGAAATTCAAAGGTTTCACGACGACCTAATGATTGGAACTAGAAATGCTAATCTTGTAAATAGAGGCCCTAAAGAATTTATCATAAGAGAGGAAAGATTTTTCTTCATTTGAATGGTTTCATACAGTGAAGAATGATTCTAGCTTCATCTGACGATGAGTGTTTCATAATGCTGCAGATCTTTCCCCATTGACATTGACAGCAGCGGTTATGGGAGTATCTTGGCAGCTTTTTATATTTTTTCCTCATTAGCAGTCTGATGTCGGTTAATAATTTCATGGAAAGGATTATATAGTTCTCTGAATAGGACAAAGTATAAGAATCGTTTTAATCATGGAAAATCCACATAAAAAGGAACGATTCTTTTCGATGCGAAAACGTGACAGCAACCGCGTCGTGCTGTCGTCAATGGGTTACTATGAACTAGATGGGAATTTCTTTAAAAAAATAGACTTCAAAAATCTGATGTGATTACAAAAGGTCTCACAGTTTTCCTACAATTTTGAATATGGTTGTGCTTGGCATTCTTTTTATATGTAAATGCATGGAAACCAAATAATGGATTGGAAAGCAGAGGCGATGCTTGCCGTGAAAGCTTTTTTTTTCATTAAAAGTGGAAAATACTGAACAATAATTCGAGGCCTTCCAACGCAACTGAGATCCGGTTTACGAGGAGAGGCTTTTTATTATAGATTACCATCAGGATTGGGCGGATAGTCGACAACTGGAACTCACAGATACAATGAAACTTTCAAAAAATTGCTACTGCAGAAAAACGACTCAACGACTCAAACAGTACTCAGACAAAACTATATGTATAACCACTTTCGAGATAAATACAGAGAGAAAAAAATCCCCACAAACAAATAACTCCGAGAATTTTTTACTGTACGGAGCGGTATAATACGTAATCCATACAGACAAACCAACATAACAATCTTAAAATGGGTTCATACCTTTGCAGTTCGATTCGCAGTTAGAGTATGGAGTAGCTAGCACCGATCGCACAATCAAATGATATCATGCGATCGATACGTATCTACTGCACGAAAGAAGCAAAATCGCATGATCAAAGTTTGACCCGATCTTTGGAGCTTGAACCTCTGGTAATAGAAGAATCGTGAAGATAGACTCATGCAATGGGATCGCCAGTAAAGCAAGCCTTTTTCAAGAATCAGTACTTTACCACTGACCACTTCTGAGCCGCCGTAAGAACAGAAACAACAGGGCGTCATAACCTGGTTTCAAGCAATTCCGTCGCGCGTCCTTGTGCTAAATATATATGACGAGCATATGAAATCTATTGCATGAAATCTTCAATGCGCAGCTCCCGTCAGTATTGATTTATCGATTATTTTATCTATCAGGCGCTTCACTGCTAATGCTTTCCACTTTTAACTCCAGTTGAAGGGATTCAGATACTAACTTTTAGGAAGCAAGTTAAGTGGCAAAATTGGTTTTTCAAGACTAACCATATAATATAGAACACATTTAGAGATAAATCGCGCTCCCATCATAAGGCTTGGAAAGCGGCCTGCTTCTTCATAGCAGCCCGATAAAAACTGAGAAAAGCGTTCCATATGCTTCCGGAGCGAACACATGGGCGCCGATTAGCAAATGTGGCCGCCCGCCCATCGCTGCTGCTACCGCCGAGCACCTAATTAGTCACTCATCGCCACAATATGCTAATCATCGGCTTAAATTCGAGTCATATTCCATGATGTGCGCTTAGGGTAAACAAGTTAAAAATAGGGAACTCGGTGCCAAGCAAATGCTTGAAATGCACCGTGCACTCAAACTTCATTGGAATCGTGGAAACGTCGGTAGATATATACATATAGCGTCAATACTGTTGATTGTAGAATACAGCGATGGTTGAAGGCAAGTTTCAGAGAAGAATTTGACCACAGCCAGCCATTCGGCGGTTTCTAAAAAACCGGATGCGTAACTCGTCCAAGCGGAACTGACGTTACAAAAACTCTAGAAAAAAGGAAAAGGAACCCCGAAAATTTCCTAAAGACTGATGACTGCGATTTCACTGCTTGTCCTTTTTTCTTCAAAGTCTGATTAGACAGTAGACATCCTTTTTTTATCAACCTGCCCAAATATATTGATGTCGAGCACTTGAAGGACACTCAAAGAAGTTAAGCTATGAGGAAAACCGCAGAAATCAGACTTTTTGTCATCTCCACAAAAAACCACTTATTTCCACGATTTTCAACGAACATTGAACAGAGAGGGAGAAATTCACAGAAATGCGCGTATTGGAGGCAGGAGAATTAATGATTACTGGAGGAAGAGGGTCTTGAAAGGGCAAAATGAAAGGAGTGAAAAAGGAGCGCTTGGAAGGAAGATATATGCAGAGGACCGTTCGAAAAAACCTCCCAGTGTTACGCTCACGAACTGAAAAGGTGACGCACTTCACTCGTCGCGTATAAGGACGGTCCGAACGAGATATTTATTTAAAGGCCACATGGCAAGTAACGTACTAACCTTGAACTCCATTAAGTACACAGATGTTAGGTTCTGCTACGCCAAAAGGAAATTATAGAAGAAGAAAGGACGATGCACTTGCCACTGATCCTTTTGACGAGCCACGGGATATGTTCGACACTCTTGATAATTATTATACGAAATATTATTTATGAATTCATAAAATTCGTATCCATTTCTTGATAATGAAAAACATTAGTTATTCTCAGTGAGCACTAGCGCCTTGCAAGCATCAAACGCGTCAGTATATAAATAGTAGAACATAATAATACCAAATGGAAATCGAGTGCCACTGAGCCAAACGAACACTGAGAGATTATAATGGGAAAAGGAAAGGTGAATGTGAGGTTAATGCATTGATGCCCTTTCTATCGTGAAAACAAGAGCATTTCTGCCTCTTTGACAATTACTTTTCTACTTATGCAAAGGTTTAATCAGAGTCTTCGGACGTGCTAGCATACGTAGATAAAATTTAGCCATTTTCAGGCCTCGGGCTAGTAGAAGAAGATGCGTAATCTTACCGCGAAACGGTCATTTCCACGTTATGCCATCGATCTCGACCACAAACAACAGTCGCGGATTCAATTCCGAAAGCTGGAATATGGCAAAGTCGAAGTAGTGAAGTGGCTGCAATACTCAAAAGCACACAGAGGATTTCCCTTCTTGTCTTTCAGGAAAGGCGTGGAAACGTGGACGTTCACAGCCAAAGCCGCATGAAATTGACTTAACGACGAAATTGGTTCCAGCGCCCCCGACTTCTTCCATTTTTATTGAAACATTGATAAAAAAAGAAAACGTATAGCTGCGCCATCCATATTACTTCATCACGGCAACGGAATGACTGAGTGGAGGCTAGATGTGATAAATTTTTCTGGTGAGCAGGGGTTTGGGGCCTCACAAAAACTAGGATTGCGGCACGACTAAAATGAGTACGTGTGAGCGAGGTGTATGCCCCTAACGGCTACGAGGAACCGTGTCGAACGCCTTGCAACACGACACACAGCCGACAGCAGGACCGTGGCGGTTAACTCGAGCGCGTCAGACATCCAACGCTTGGCATGAGGCAGAATATAGCCGTCTACAATATGAAGAGTAGCCATTCACCTTTTCGGTTTCCAGCATTTGCTCCCCCTCCTTCTTCTTTTTGTAATGTGGCAGGAAAGGCAATTGATGTTATTGAATTCCTGTGGAGTTGAAACTGCAACAACATTACTGAGGAAACCCTCAGATGTTATTCAGAATCAAATTTGGATCTCAAGTCAAGGAGCTACCATGAAGAGTAAAACAGCGGATCGCAGACAACATAACTCAAAAATGAAATGAACAGGCACCGAGGAAAGTTGAGAAATATGAAAATCTTATAAGAAAAAGCACCAAAGGATCGTTCTGCGGGACCGGCGACGCAGTCAATTCCCATATCGACTCGTACATTTTTCTGGTCATTTCTGACCTATACAATGAATAAAGGGGATCAAACGACAATGGCGGGCTTCGTTATGCCAGTAGCTAATCGAGACGCTTACAGGATCTCTGGGAGAATAATCTTTGGTTAAAAACACTGCATTACTGGTCAAAGTCACTCACTTGATGCAAGGCATTTCACGATGCTTTTGACCTCGCTTTTTTGTTCCCATCTAGGAAAAGAAATGAAGAAAATTATATACACATGATAGAAGAAGTCACCGACAGAAGTCTTTTGAGATCAAAACTGAAGAATGACATTTAATCTATGACAAAATGAGGGATGATACAACCGGTCTATTCAATTAGGCACTAGCCTAGAAAGTCTCTAATGGTTCCACCAAGTCCCTGCATTGAAGACTGCCAACAATGTTAGTGGTGAAAGCTGCAGATGATGGCCTATCTAGGGATTCTGATAACCTCAAAGGAACCAGCAACAGTTTCGTAACCTAACCTAAGCCATGTAATGGATGGAGAAAGATCAGAGAAGTTGTTAACGATAATTACGTCTGTTCTTTCAACCATTCCGTTCAACATCCTTCTCTTTCGTAACGCGGCATTTGTTTATTTTAGCTTCTGTCATCCAGGTGTTAGTGGATTTTTAATGGCCGTTGATGTTTGACGGGATGTCTCTCAAAACAACGCCCATCAGGCAAGCAGGCGGAACAGCGCCACTCCGGGTCACTCATGGTTAGAATAATTATGAAATATATAGAAAAGTTATGGTTACTAAGCATAACTGACCCGGAGTGGCGCTGTTCCTGCTCTTGCGGTGGAGGGACTGGGCCTATGAGGAAGACGATCTCGTCGAAACTTCAGACCACTAATAATATTCTCCACCTAACAACCTCGTTGACAGAAGAATAATATCATAATTCCCTTTAACGCCTCATTAACGCACGAGAAAGGGGAAACGCGAATTTCCAATCTCCCTAAGATTGTTCTTTTCGCCGACGTGTAAAAATCACATGAATCAAAAGGCACTCAAGTGGATGCTCTTAACGATCTGAGAATTTTGGGCAAGTGGTTCCAAAGGAATGTATTTTTTATGTTCGATCAGTTTGCGGAAAAAAAGACGGGTACTAGCTGCAATGACCGTTCCTAATTTAATAACGTAGTGCAAACGTATGACAGTTTGAAAGAGAAAGAGAAACTATTTCAAGCAATCTATGTCGATCTGACCTAGCGGAAGAAACCATCGTCTCCAAGATGGGTCAAATCGGCTATGATATCTCATAAAGGGGGCGAGAGACCAGTTTCTGAATAAGGACACCAATCTACATGCGCAAGAGGGAAAAAACTGATAGACCTCGATATTAACTGCTAAACCCCGCTGCGAACAGCAATAATAAGCGTTTTTAAACATCTTTTCGTCATAATCCTCGGCGTACGAAAAAGTGTCTGATCACATCAAATCCTGTCTTTAGTTCTAGAAACTGATTAAAGCCGCTTCAACTGGAGCTAGTTTTTTCTTCAGCCATGCAAGCGCATATTAAACTGCTTTGACCAATTTTCCAGTTGTTTCGTGAATGAAATATTGCAACGGTGACGAACAGGATCCAGCAGTTTCCGTTTCTGGAGTTCGAAATTCATAAGAGTCAATGCGGACCAATGAGACTTTAAACAATTGTCGATCTCTAAGCAGTCGTCGGCCATGGACGACATCTTTCCTACGTTTCAAACTATTGAAAATAGCAAAACCCAGCAATGTCAGTGTATGGCTCTATAGACCACCGAACAGGTATATGAAGTTGAATGAAAATATGATACCAGGCATCCTCCAGAAGAAGCGACCAACAAGGATTATTTTGGTTTCTCTGCTTGGAAAGTGTTCACCATTGGAGAATTCACCTTGGTTAACCGTGCGGCCACTGCTTTCGAAACAATGCCCATGGAGTGCTAGTCCACAACCAGACAACTCAGTAAACTGGATAATATTAAACATGAGTGTTTTCGAAAATGATAAAAGAACAAGCACGTCCTAAAGAATCGAAAAGGTGAACACGCTGTGGGTGGCTTTAGAGGCGTGACCTTTCAATGACCTTGGACATCAGTTTCCAGAGGCACAGAGTTGGACGACATCTAGCGACACAAGCATTCAAAACGAAAAATAGCGTTCATAGTGTAATCCTAACAGTAAGCACTTTTATGGAAAGAAGCACAACGGTCTATGCAAAATTACTCCGCGGGAACCATGGTGGACCCAAAAAGCAGGGACGGAATCGGTTCGCTAGAGGTACCAGTAGCAATTCTGTTCACCTTCGCATTACTACTACTACTGAAGGAACCAAACTATTTGTAATAATAAGAAGAAAAAAGCAAACACGCCTGGACAGATACAATCTGACAACTAGGCGCCAGCTAAAACGAGTCGCAGTTGCTAGAGCGCACCGTGGGAATGGCTTCTACCACTACTTCGAAAATTGTAAAAACATCGACGAGATCGAGAAGCAATAGACTTACACTCTGTTCCATGGCTAGACATGTCGAAATTACAGACTTAATAGTACAATAGACGATGACCAGGAAAAAGATCAAGGGAGGTATTCTCTGAACCAATTGGCGCCGTAACCTGTTACGCGCGCAACACAGTTCTGCGGCGACATGGAACGGAGCGACAAGAACTTTGAGAAATTTAGCCCGATACAACGTAATATTCCTTGCCCTTCTTGACTACATACTATCCACTATCTTATTGCATCTGTTAGGCCAATGTCAGACTTTGCAATTCCAACGATTCACTAGCGAACCGTTGGGTGCGGGCCTTGCACCAGCGAATCGAGTTGTACCAGCGGATCGAACTATGTGCCAGTGGATCCGGCGACTCGGCACTCTTTGAAAGAGGGGCGGAACTTCCTTTGAGCATTGTGTCCCGTCACTTTTAAACAGTGTTGAGTTGCTGGTACATGGTTCAATCCGCTGGTACATAGCTCGATCCGCTGGTACGGTTCGACTCGCTGGTGCAACACTCGCTGGGTTCGCAAAGTTTGACATCGGCCTTAGTACTCAGCTCTGTTAATACCAATCATCCATGGCATTCTTGATGAGCAAATAAATAAGAAATTAAAAAGACACGGGTTCTAGTCCCGCCTGGGGCGAAAGTTTTGTTCACAACCCAGCATTCTTGTGAAACATTCGCAAGGCGAACTGCGGCGTTAAAACAGCAGTTAACAAACAAAACAAGTCAAAATCATTGCTAAAGCTTTCAGCCTCGCGGTCATTGCCGATATCGGCTAACCGGCTCAACACGTTAGACGTGTGAGTGCTGAAAGCTATGGTACGTATACCATGAAAAGCTGAGTTGGAATGAAATGGTGCCCCGGTAGCGTAACTGGTAGCGCACTTGCCCGGAAAGCGAGAGGTGCGGGTTCTAGTCCCGCCTGGGGCGAAAGTTTTGTTCACAACCCAGCATTCTTGTGAAAAAAAATACGACTTAAATCACTTCACAAAGCAAATAGTCAAGAAACAGATTGGAAAGTCTTACTTAACACAGACTTTAAACGGACATGACGCAAAAATGGCGAAACGCACGTGCGGGCCTTATATAGTCGCATGTAGACGGATCGTATCTTCGCGGAAAAGAGAGTGCATTTCTAGTGGATTACTGTATTCGACCACACCGCACATCAACGGCAATGCATTTCATAACAGTTATCTGAGGAGCAGGGGCTCCCCGTACAAATTGATCAGTTTTTAGCATTGAAAGTTGTTAAGTGTTGAAAAGTAGCCTACGCGCAGAAACCTTAACGGTCCGACCGCTGTCGCTCTTACAATGAAGTCACGTACCACTGCTCAGCTTCTTACATAAGCCACTCAGCTTCTTAACGGTAAGGGAACAGATGAAGCAGCGCGAAAATGCTTCACTCCCTTTTATAGTCCAAGCTCACAGTTTCTATCAAAACGCCCTAGATTTCTCTCACAAAATCCACCTCCCCCCAAGACTACCATCTAGTGCGCAACCACAATAACACACTCTTCATCGCTTCCACATGATCATTCTACACGTTGGCTCATCTAACACGATGTGACAGTACGATACTTTTCTGTTAACAAATAACTTGTCCAATATATATTATTGACATTCAACAAAATGTCTTGCACGAACAAATTACTTTTAACATTTTAATTTGGAATAGCAAATGGTACTTTTTTCAACAAGAAAAAAAGAGACGGATACATGTGAGACAAAAGAGTAGCCAAGGAGGGACAGCAGCTGACGCGCCATAAACACACAAAGAGCAAGTTCTCTCGTGCGCCCGATCAATAACAAGCGCTGATTGCAGTGGCTTCTTACCGAGTAATGGAAAAACAAACCGCTACGCACAACACAGCACAGTAAAGTCAAATTTAGACCCCATGGGATGAATAACACGATTCGAACAGACTTAAAGAGTTAGAAACAATATGTACTTGATGTAGATGAATTCATATACAACAAAAACAATGATCGCAGTAATTCGGAAATGAATCAGATCATGTCCGCGATATTCATTGGCATTTCATCGATTTGCGTTGAATAGTACTGCTCAATATCGCGAAGAATACGCACATCATCGTGTTTCACAAAGTTGATGGCCACACCCTGTAAAACACTCACTGAGTCAAACCAGTTCTGCCAGATTATAACCTATCAATCACCAACCTTTCTTCCGAAACGGCCTGAGCGACCAATACGATGAATGTATAATTCACGGTTATTGGGGAGGTCATAGTTGATTACCTAAAAAAAGCAGCAATTAATTGAGCGAAAAGCACCGTAAACGATTCCAATCTCTGGAAGATAACTTACGAGGGAAACTTGAGGAACATCGAGACCTCGGGCCCACACATCAGTCGAAATCAACACCCGGCTGTTTCCTGCTCGGAATTCCTTGAAACATCAGATTACAATCTTAGTAAATCAAGTCTATCAAATGATAATGAGTCATTAAGAATCCCAATACCTTCATAATCTGCTCACGCTCCTTCTGCTCCATATCACCATGCATAGACGACACCGTGAAGTTCGCTTCCTTCATTTTCTCAGCTAACCAATCCACCTAGAACAAAGATAGAAGCGTTACATCACTGAGACATCGTAGGAGAGAGAACAGATATAACGAAACTTGTAAGAAATTGAAGCAAAGCGGGAAAAGGAAGACGAGCCATAATAACACGGAGTGTCTCACGAACAACGCTCATTGCCAAGCTAATGGAGGGTGGAATTCGATTGTAGAGATTTTAACAAACCAAAAATTTATTGCAAACAACTGACAGAGACTTTGGAAAGTAATAAAAAGATCAACTGATGACTGATGTTTAGCTATCCAATCGTTTTATTTTCATTATTTCGAAAATAAGACATAGTTTAGCTGAAGGTTTCTCATATCCTCATAAAAATCAGCGCCTCATAACATACG